ATGAGGGTTGGAATCAACTTCTTTGAATCTACTGTTAATGTTGATATTTTGACCTCCTCCCATGAATCACAAATGATCTTACCGACATCAAGAAGAGGGAATCTTTTCCAGAAGGTTTTCAACTTACTTTTCCCAGATCCATCAGAGGAGTCATTATCTGTCGCATCTATATCCTTACAAAATGAGTTTCTTAAATAATAAGATTCAAAAGGCAAAATCACTCTTTGATGGGCTGCAGAATTCATGTTGTGCTAGCAGACACGAAAACAACTTTAATCTCCTTGTGGATCTCCATCAGAGCTCTTGAGTGACTAGGTGCATTGGCAGTGGGCAGTAATAATTTTGAAAGGAATTTTTTTTTCTGTGTAGTAGTTCTCAACAGAGTGCTTAAAATATTCAGTAAACCATACTGTAAACAGATGTGCTGTCATCCAGGCTATGTTGTTTCATTTATAGAGCATGCGCAGAGACTATTTAGCATCATTCTTAAGGGCCCTAGGATTTTTGGAATGGTAATGAGCATTGGCTTTACCTTAAAGTCACCAGCTACATTAGCCTCTGACAAGACAGTCTGCCTGTTCTTTGAAGCTTTGAAGCCAGGCATTGAATTTTCTCTAGCTATGGAAGTCCTACATGGCATCTTCTTCCCATAGAAGGCTTTTTTGTCTACACTGAAAATCTGTTGTTTAGAGCATCCATCTTCATCAAGTATCTTAACTAGATCTTCAGGATAACTTGCTGCATCTTCCACATCAGCATTTGCTGCTTCACCTTGAGCTTTTATGTTATGGGGACAACTTCTGTCCCCAGACATCATGAACCAGCCTCTGCCAGCTTCAAATTTTTCTCCTGTGGCTTCTTTAACTTCTTTAACTTTCTCAACCTTCATAGAATGGAACAGAGTTAGGGCTTTGCTCTGCGTTAGGTTTTGGCTTAAGGGAATGTTGTGGCTGGTTTGATCTTCTATTAGGACCATTCAAACTTTCTGTGTATCAGCAATAGGGCTTTTTCGCTTTCTTATCATTCATGTATTCACTGGAGTAGGAATTTTAATTTCCTTCAAACATTTTTTCCTTTGGATTCGTAGCTTGGCTAACTGTTCCATGCAAGAGGCCTACCTTTTGGCCTATCTTAGTTTTTGACATGCCTTTCTCACTAAGCTTAATCATTTCTAATTTTTGTTTTAAAGTGAGAGACCTTTGACTGTTCCTTCCACTTGAACACTCGCTGCCATTGTAGTGTTCTTAATTGACCTAATTTCAATATTGTTGTATCTCAGGGAATAGGGCGGCCTGAGGAGAGGGAGAGAGAGAGAGGAATGATTGGCTGGTGGAGCGGTCAGAACATACACAACATTTATCAATTAAATTTGCTGTCTTTTAGAGGCACAGTTTGTAGTGCCCCCAAACCATTACAACAGTAATATCAAAGATCACTGATCATAGCTCACCATAATAGATATATAATAATGACAATTTTGAAATATTGTGAGAATTACCAAAATGTGATACAGAGACATGAAGTGAGCACGTGTTGTGAAAATGGTACTACTAGACTTGCTTGACGCAGTTGCCACAAATCTTCAATTTGTAAAAAATATAATATATGCTAAGTGCAATAAAGTGAAGTGCAATTAAAGTAGACAGGCCTGTATATCCTTGGGAGAAGGCTAGCAGCCCATGGTTTTCCTATGCATACGTCTATGTTGACTCAGAAAGCAAATGGGCAGCTGCATGCAGTGTGTGTTAGTCAGCTCTGGTTGCTATAACAAGATAGACTAGGTGGCTTATAAACAATAGGAATTTATTTCTCACAGTTTTGGTTCTGGAGGCTGGAAATCCAACATTAATATGCTAGCCTGGTCAAATTCTGGTGAGGGTTCTCTTCCAGGTTGCAGACTACTGACTTCTATTGCATCCTCCCATGGAAGAAAAAGAGAAAACTAGTTCTCTGGCCTCTTACCAGGGCACTAATCCCATTCATGAGGGTTCCACCCTCATTACCTAACTAGCTCCCACCTGTGCATATCATCTCACTAGAAATTAGATTTCAACATATGAATTTTTTTGGGGGGACACAAACATTCAGTCCATAAAACAGGGCTATTTTTGTGTATATGAAACCAAAAGGAAAGTCTTTCCATCTGTAGGTCATTTGGAAAGCATTGAGTGTATACGATAGAATTCAGTGCATATTTACTCTTTAACATCTTCCCTTGGACATGGAATGGACTCAAGTCTTGCTCAAATAATGAACTAGGATCTCCCCCTTTTCAAGGCAATGCTGTGACCAACAGAGTGGAACAGCCCAGACAGGAATAATGCTTAAATGTTGTTTGTTGCTTCCAATAGTCCTAAAAAACAGCATAACTTGCATGATCTGTATTTAGTTACTTGCTATTCACACCACCACCTTCCTGAGGATGATTATAGTTTTTCTTCTGCTTTAACCTTTGAAACCACTTAATTGACTTATTCCCAGGGTTGGCCAGTTAGCACTGATTTGAAACTAGAGGTCTCCAAGCATCTCAGTGATGGAGGCACTGCACATTGGCACAAACCATCAACCAGGCAGCTAGTGTCAGGCTTTCTAAACTTAATGATTCAACCAAGTGGTGGGGTGAGGCACTGAAGAAATCATTTATTAGATATCTTAGTGACAATTACCAGTCGTATTAGTTGGTTGAGGGCCAACCAAAATGCAGGCCAACTAACTTTTCCAATTTGCAACTTGTTATATCATCCTATAGGTGAAGTAATAGGCTCTAGTTTCTAGCCCTCTTCTAAATTCAAACTAAATTGCATAAGCATTAAGAGAATCTTATCACCTTGGCTTATTCTGCCCTCCAGGGCACAGATACAGAAAAAGGGAAACCACCAGATGTTAAGCTCATCATATCTGTAGAAAAGACATATCCAAGTGTTGTGTGCCAAGGGGTTTAGAGACCCTGCAGTCATATCACTTTGGCTACAATCTCATTGGATCTTATAAATAAAACAAGTGCAGACCAAGCCAGCACCTGGATGGCAGATGCAGAATCTCCTGGGGAGATGCAGTAAGTAGCTCTAGGAATCCAAGCATCATTTCTCCCTTTGTGCCTATAATAAATCAGTACCCAGTAGGAGGCAAGAGATTGGCTTTTAATGGGCTCTGTCTCTATACCCGAGTTTCTTTCTAGATGGTCCATAAAAATGACTTCTGCCTTTACCTATATTTTGAGATGAATTGCTTATTCATCCCCAGATAAAATTCCCTTTTTCTTTTCCATCATTTATCATTGAAATAAATTATTTGATCACATTCTTTTCTTGGTTGTGGCTACAAAGGTGGGTCATGACATCATTTTGTTTTTCCAAGGAAATGGTAAAGTTTTAAGGTGAATGATTTGAATTTCCCCTAATATAGGTAATAAAATGCCTTTGATCATTGGATGTAAAAATAGCTGTAAAAATGCAAGTGTTGCTCTAATGGTCCATCTTGCTTTTTTATGGGTTTCTCTACTGCCGTTGCACAGGTAGAGTTCACATTGAACTGCACAAATTCCCCCCATTCACCTGCCTCTTAGAATCATGAATGTTTTATTCTAGTTTGAATTAGGAAAGCTTCTGATGGTTTAACTTTTATGGTAAAAATAGCTAACCATAACCACCTATACCTTTACCTGTGATGATCTATTATTTGAACAGGGTTTCAGTGTATCCCTGAATATTTAATGCTATGTCTTCTTAGCTATGTCTCACATAACCAGCTTCTAATTTCAGTCTCTGCCTAGTTAAAACACTTTGTCAAACTTCCCTATCACATTTTTTTTCCTCACACACATCATTTCATCCTCACTCCTGAAAAATCTGCTAGTGACAATTCCAATATTGGCAGTGTAAGAGTGAAAAAAAAAAAACTATAAAAAGGGAAAACTGAATTTGAATGTCATCATTGCAAAAATGAAACGTTGATTGAACACCCCTATAGAAAGGGCACATTACATTCAAGATATGTGTGGGCTGTTTAGCAAAGAATTATTACATAAAGGTTAAATAATATGTCATGCATTAAAATAAAATGAATCATTTACATATTTATTTAAATAGATACTGCTCCAATACTTTTAAGCCTAATTTACCTATTATTAATTAATCATGATAAAGATTCTGCAACAACATAAAGCATGAAGAAGTACTGCCAATTAAGTTTCAATAAAAATGAAGAGCACATAATGCTTAAAATGACAATGTTATTCACTTGAAAAATGTAATTCCATTTTTAAGCACCTTTTTCGGGAGCATATCTACTACAAAAAGTACTATGTGTGATTACTTAGTTAAATAGCTTTAGACGATGTAGAATGTATAAACAGCATATTTACACAGGAAGGACATCAGGAGACTTGGCGGTGGTATTTAGTCTGGATTTATTAAGTAACATCTTTTAGATGATAAAATGAATTCTGGGGGTGGAAATATTTGAGGGAGAAAATAACAGATCTGTTTACAGAGTCGATAAGAGCTTAAATACTTATAGCAGAGCTTGGGAAAATAAGGGCTCAATATATATTTTTTGTTGAATGAATGAATGAATGAAGAATCTCCCCAAAGATACTAAAATGGGAACGATGTTTGTTTAACTTTTAAATGTTACTAGGTTTTCATTCATTCGACAAATATTTATTGAACACCTACAATATGCTTGGCACTGTACTAGGTGCCATGGATACCAACTGAATGAACAAGAGAAAAAATACTCCAAGGAGACGACGGTCCAGTTGGGAAGACATGCACGAAAGGTGTCATAACTAATGCAATGATTGCTACATACACTTGGTTTACGCAGAGAGACCTAGCCAAACGAGGCATCAAAAATGGTCTCCTTGAGAACATCACCTTTGGGTTGAGTGCTGAACCATAAGAAGGTGAGGAGGATAAACTTGGGGGCAGAGTAAGCATCACGTGTGGAGTCACAAAGACCAGTGAGATCATAGAATGTTAGAGGAACTGGAAGGTGTCTAAAAGCTAAGCCTACAGAGCAGGAAGGAAATTGGACAGAGGTGAGCTGAAGGGCAGCCAGGGGCCGGCCAGGTGCAAGGAAAATGAATGCAGTTAGGTGCAGATCTTTCCTAATTAATTCTGAAACATAGATTTTTGGAATTTACCAAAAGGAATGTATTTATAGCAATATTTTTACACAAATACTATTATTTATATCGAATTAATTACTGTGCTTTGATATTTTAAGCTCATTTTTGGGGAACCATTGTTATGGGGTACATTTGTTTATCGATTTGTTGATCCACTTACCTATCACTACACACGTGCCAGATACAAAGATAAATAAGACAGTGCGTTCAGGGAGGTGATGTTGTAGTGTGGCAGGAGTAGGAGACAGTAGAAGACTGAACCAGTTAGACTAAGGAGGTGGGATGAACGTCATTAGATCACTGTTATCTTCAAAACTTCTTTGTGGCCAATACAAACAAAATTGCAGACCCCTGCCATGGCGCTCTCATCAGTAGGAGGAGGCTTCTGTTTTAACAACTGTTTACTTTTGGGGCATCTCCTAGTTCTTTTTGAGAGTTAGGGGATGTGAGAATAGGGGAGTAGCCTGTGAAAGCTATTTGCTATCAATAGGTTGCTTTATACAACTCCCGGAGCATCATTCATACTCCATTCTGTCAATGGGGTTGTTGTCCACAGATGCTGTTTTCAGATTATGGGCAAGAAGTCCCTGGAGTTTGCAGAGCTAACCCACATTCCCCTCTGCCTTTCAGGACACTCTTCTATAGTCATTAGCCACCACGCCTAGGCCAAGTTAAATGATGAAGAGTATATTTGTGGAGTCAAGAGTTATCCATTAGGTAGAATATTCTGGATTTCTTGTTTAGTGCTCCGAGTTTGGCCTCTTTCAACTCAAAGTTGGTCATTTTGAGGGAACAGCTCTTTTGTATAGTTGGAGACACATACAAACTTGTGCACGGACACCGCCCTCACTCACATCAAGCCTTGCCTAATTAACCCCACAGAATCTCATGCCCTCTTGGTTTACTGAGACTTTTCTTTAGTTTTTCCTTTGCTCACTCCCTCAGCATACAAAGTCTTCTGGCCGCTGGTTGACTTTTTTTTCCAGTCTTTCTCTCCCTGATTGCACATGAATATTTATAACCAAATTTTTATCATAAATTACATATAATATTAATAAATGGCCCTAGTTTATAGCCAAGAGAAGTACACTATTTAATGGAAACAAGAATATTTATAATATTTCCCCTGTTGGTGCTGGTACACAGAAACAGCACTTGACCTTACTATATGAAATCACCCACTAGTCAGATTTATTGAACTTTATGACACTGTTATTAACCATTTTGGTTTTACTGATTTTTCTTGAGACTTTTCAGAATTTGTGTGTGTGTATTATTAAATATATCCATATCATCAGAAACTGTTTAGAGTAAGAGTAGACCTTGAAAAATGGGATATAGGGGTGGAGTTGGGATGGGGGGTAAGGGGTGATTAGCAGCACTGTCCTAACAGTCTGGGTGGGATGACAGTCCAGATGTGATGCAGCACGAACTGGAATCATGGCAAAGGCAGTGGGAATGGAAAGAGGATATAAAATGGAAAGAATCTTGCATAGGCTAAAATAGAAAGGGACCAGCAGCCAGAGAGGAATTCAAGTCGTGCTGATGTTTTGAACCTAGGCCAAGGGAAAGATGAAGTGACACTCATATAAACTAGGTAGGAAGACAGAAGGATTTAAAGATGGGATGCAAAATGACAAGTTCAAGTCCTCTATTTGAACTTTGAGGTGCTGACAGGAAACTGTGCTTTGAGGGCTGAGCAGAGGCTGAAGCCCATCCAAGCTATTCCCTCTCCCTTTCTTCCCCCTACTCACTCTCCTTTGACTACTGTCTTTTCTGGAGAGCTCTCAAAAAGGCGATAAGGCCTGGCTGCACTGCCTCCTATTCCAGTTGGAACTCAAGGGCATTTGAGTGGCTTGGGCGCCGCGCACACCAGACCCAGCTGCAAGCTGCAGCAGTCTAGTTTTGCCAATTGGGAACACTATTAAATATTTGGGAATTTGGGATTGGAGCTCAAGAGAGAAGTCAGATCTCTACTTAGCTATTTAGAAGTCCTCTGCTTAGAGATAATTTAAATGTTGAGAGTAAATACATTTTCCTAGAAGACAGAGGATAGAAAAGAGGATGGAATAGACAACTCCAGGACATCTATGATTAGGGCAGAGAGGCAGGGAGATATGAGGGATTTCTGGAAAGTATCCAGCTATTGCTAACATAATGTGTTCATATTACCTGGCTGGGTACTTTCTGGACAGCCCTCATAGACCTGAGATAAAGCCATAGAAGCAGCAATTCTAGGGAAGGAAGAAAAGAAGAAGAAAAAGAACAACAAAAAACCCTAAGGATGAAGAGTGCAAGGAAAGAGATATTTCTAGAAATAGGTGCTGCTCAGTGTGATGTTGCAGAAAGAAAATGCGATTGAAAAGGTGGGTGGGTTCAGTAAGGAGAATGACTGATGTCTATTAAAAGTGGGGTTTCACGAGTGGTTGAATGCAGATAGTAGAATGTAAAAAGACAGTAAGTGGTAAAGAGTTGAAAATAGTGAATGAAGAAGAATTAGAGACTGGAAGGGTGTCTTGAGGCATTAATAAGAAAGTATGTTAAGTGTTCAATGCTTATAAACTCTACAGAATGCATTCTGGCTAAGGGGAAATATGCAATAGAAAGGAAGAATTTAAATACATAGTGGAGAGTGGGAATTATTGAGAGATAAGTGTGGGTGTGTTTGTGTGTAGTTATCCTCCAATAACTCATATATTATCTTTGTGCAAATTAGACAAATGTGCCTCTCTCCTGGATGGATGGGGCCCCTCATCAGAGTGAATGGCTTGGTGAATAGAAAAATGAAGGCCTCATTCAGCCCCCACATGCAACTTGTAACCTGTTCAATAGTACATAGAAAAACTGTTTATAGACACCCCATTAAATCCCACTTAGAAAAAACTACCCCAGCCTGGCACAGTGGCTCATGCTTGTGATCCCAGCTACTTGGGAGGCTAAGGCAGGAGGATCACTTGAGGCAAGGAGTTTGAAACCAGCCTGGGCAACATAGTGAGACTCCATCTGTAAAAAAAAAAAAAAAAAAAAAAAAAAAGAAAATTAAAAATTGTCTGGGTATTATGGCATACTTGAAGTCCCAAGCTACTTGGGAAGCTGAGGTGGGAAGATAGCTTGAGGCCAGGAGTTTGAGGCTGCAGTGAGCTGTGATCATACCACTATACTCCAGCCTGGGTGACAGAGGAAGACCCTGCCTTAAAAAAAAAGAAAGAAAAGAAAGAAAGAAAGAAAAGAAAAAAATTTAAAAAGAAGAAAAAGAAAAAAAAAATGTCCAAGGACATTTTACTTGATTTTTCCTCTGTGCTCAGCCACATTCATTATTTTCCTCAAGATACATGCTTGTTCTTATTTATAGCCAGAAAATCAGTTAGTCAACGTCCAGTGTTGAGTTCTTTCCAAATTCTCCCTCCCCAGGGTCCACAGACGCATTCGTGTAGAAAAGTCCACAGCTGAAGTGTGTGGTGGCCAATAATCACATTATTAAGGACACTTTTTCTTTGTTGATGTTCCCCATCAGCTCCAGTTCTGCCACTGCTCACTAGACCTTAGGGACAGCTTTGTGATGTTGGTTATGTTTTGAAAACAACAATTTTTTTCTCAATATGAGTACGTAGCTTATAATTAGAAATATACAGTTTAATCACAGTTATGCTAGAAACAGGAATTATATATATATATATGCATATATAAATTTTCCCACTTGGTAGTTAGGGAAAAAAAAGAGTAGAGATAGTTATGGGTATTATTGAATTTTCTTGAGAGGACACAGGCCATCAAATATTTAAAAAAAAATTTTAACATTTGTGCTTTTACTTTGTGTGAAAATGTCGCATATATATTTTTGGTAATTTCTTCGGGGATTTTAAAGAAGAAATTTTCTATTTTAATGTATCTTGGTGACAGTGATCTGGATAAGAATCCACTGGGGAATTTAGCAAAGATTCTGTCAATGAACAAAGAAGGTGGCGAGAGCTCCAGAGCTCCCCGGCTCCAGATAACACGGCCACTCTCCTAGCTCCCTCCTCTGTCTGTGTGTCACCATTTGCCAGAACAAAGAAGGGACTCCAAAACTGTGAGCTATCCTGCTTGAATGACATCCCTCCCTTTCTTGCACATGCACAGCCTGGCCTTGAGAGTGTGATTCATTCTTTATGTCACATAGCCCTGTTTACATCAGTCAGCATAAGAAGCTGAGAACTCCAAGTCATGTCTCATTCCCCTCATTTTAATATTCTTTGCCCCAACCCCTGCAGGACCTATCCTCTTCACCATAAATATATTTGGCATTTTATTTATTTATTCATTTTTGTCTTTTTTTCTAATTGCAGTGTAAACTGGAAGTTCTGTCTGTTTTGCTCACTGCTGTCTCTCAGTGCCTGCGTCTGTGGCAGGTATAGCTATTCTCATAATTATTTTTTGGGTGAGCGAATGAAAAACAATTGATACAAATAGCATTTGAACTTGACATGAGCTTAGAGGTGGTCTGTGAGAAACCACAGAGACCAAGCAAGAACGGCAAGACTGTGGGCCTGAAATGTTTGTAGGGTCATGTGCACACTAGGAGAGGCAGTAGTACCAGATGACAGGCACAAAACTAAGAGTTCTCTTACTGCAGAAATTGATCTGATATTGTGAGTGGCCATCTTATCAGTGCGACATTTACTACAGGCAAAATATTGTTTAAAACCAACAACAACAATAAAAACCTTCCAAGCTCTTGAATTGCAGCTGCTATCTATGCAGTTCTTTCCGGCAAGGAAAATTTGTAAGTGTTTTTTTAGGTCAACATTTGCTTTCATGGAAGCTAAAATGGTATGAACAAAATGCAAAACTAACAGAAGCTCCCAGCATATAGATGGTGCTCAACAGAAGCTTGGGTAATCAGAGGTATTAAGGTCTGGGCAGAATTAGGCAAAATCTATCTTCCATTTCAACTTTGCAGAGCTTTTCCCCCTCTGGGAACTTGGGTCTGCTCTTCGTGTCCCTCAACAGACTGTTCTGAATACTACACATCCTGACAGGGTCTTTCCCATACAACCTAACTTCTCCCTTTCCTGTCTTCCTTCCCAACATAATTATTTGACTTTTAGATTCTCTTCGTGCAGAACCATGCTTTTTTTTCAAAAGTCAGCAATATAGGCTTAATCTGACAAAAGAATTCCTGCAAATTCCTTCCTTGATAAACCATAGTGTTCAAGAATGACAATGCCTAAAACAAAAAATGATAAGGTTTCTTATGAGGTTTTAACCTCATAAGAAATAATGCTTATATCAGAAATTCAAGCAATGTAGGAAGATAATGATGTAAATATTTATTTAAGAGTGATTGAACTTTTTGGATTAAGAATTTAAAATTCAACCAAAAGGGCTAAAGGGGTGTGTAGATGCAGAGGCCATTTTTTCCTAAGAGAAGGGTACATTATCCTTTCATTTCCAGTAAGAGATTTGTGGAGGACAGCCAGGCATCCTGGTATACACTATAATCCAGTATTATTTTCATATATTCTTCTTAATATGAGAAATTTCAAGTTTAAATGTCGGATCTCCCCATATTCCTACAAATGAGGAGTAGATTGAGCATGTGTCAGACTCCCTAAGATGCATGTTTTGTGATTTCTCTAATGTGGAAAGAATCAGTGCATAGAACACACTCTTAGATAGATGGCCAACTGAGAATGTCAGTTTAGATATAATTTTCCATAGTTCTTGTTATATGGAGGTGGTAGACTGAATTTCATCATTTAGGGAAATTGCATGGACTCACAATCCATTTCTGCAGCATAAAAGAACTGTGGCACAAAATTTTATTAGAACTATGTGTGGCACTTTGGCTGTACTCTCCCCTCTGTGCAGCAGATGAAAACAGTACAAATATATTTTATTTCATGTTATCTCAGAGAAAATTAGTAAATTTTTCTATCAAAATTTGTTTTTATTAAGAGATCATTTAAAAATGTTTCAAAATGTCTAATATATTCTAAATTTCCTAGATGACAATTATGGTTCACAAATGGAAAATGTAAGGGGAAAGATAGTGGGTAGAGTGGAGAGAAGATAAAAGAATAAACCGTTTTGTGTAACTTTTAAGTTTTAGGTACATTCTCATATATTCTCGGAATTGTCACAGTGTGACTTTGTGGGGTAGGTTTGCTTAGAACTTCCAGGATGTCCTACCCCTCATTTAGGAGGTAATGTCCCCTTTTTAGCTGCCAACCTCCCTGAATTTTCTCCCCTCCCTCTCAATCAGTCCATTACACAAAAGTTTATGAGAACAAAACTGGACAACAGGGAACTTAGGATTTCCTCTGTTCAAAGAAAAATACTTATTTTAAAAATGTGATGATGATTACTTTTTATTTCATTATTATTATTATTATATTTTGAGACAGAGTCTTGCTTTGTTGCCCAGGCTATAGTGAGTGCCATGGCGTCAGCCTAGCTCACAGAAACCTCAGACTCCTGGGCTTAAGCAACCCTGCTGCCTCAGCCTCCCGAATAGCTGGGACTACAGGCATGCGCCACCATGCAGGCTAATTATATATATATATATATACACACACACATTGGACAATTAATTTCTTTCTATTTATAGTAGAGATGGGGTCTCACTCTTGCTCAGGCTGGTTTTGAACTCCTGACCTCAAGCAATCGGCCCTCCCCGGCCTCCCAGAGTGCTAGGATTACAGGCGTGAGCCACTGTGCCCTGCCGATGATTACTTTTTATAATCTATCTTTCAATTGGTCTATAAACATTAACAGAAAGAAAATCCAGTCACCCAGAAACTCTTATGAGAGCTCTAAAAATGAAGACTTGAGTGTTATAAGTTTCCCCAAACTGTTATCATTTTCACTAAAACCTGCCTCACTGGAGGAAAAGTGGCAAGTTATACCTAAGAGCCCCTAATTATCGTATAACTTTTTCTTAATTAAAAAGAATTGTACAGTCCCCAAAGGAATGGGACTGTGAGTTAAATAGGTGATGATAGTTGCTACTCATGTTTTATGAAATTCATTATTCTGTAGGGGATAAAGACATTTTAACAGATATTTGATATAGTTTAGCTAATATTTCCAAGATTTTGTCTAAATTGGTGGGCAAAAAATATTCAAGATGAAAATTGCCACTTTGGTGAATTCTGTTATGCCCAATAACATTGCAATATAAAGCAAACAACACCAACATCCTTATTACATTTAGGTTTATTACTTCTTTGTTAATTGGGCTGAGGGTACACATTTCCAACTTTGAGTCTAAATCACTGATTCTTGTCACTTTCTGTAATTCTAATTTAGTTATCATTATTTAAAAAAAATTGTTCTAGATGATTGTGATGCGAAGTCAAGTTCAATGGAAGAGTAGCAAAATGACAGGTGGAACAGTGTGTTCTGGGCTGCCATGAAATCAGAACTAAGATGGCTAAAGCAAGGAGACCAGATAGGAGAAATAGACAACTTACAGAATGGGAGAAAAATCAAGCAGGTGAATATGGGAAGAGGGGATAAGTAAATACACACCTAATGGATACGTAACTTCAACACAAACTGTGCAAAAGCAATTTATGTAATCAAAACATTTATACCCCTGTAATATTCTGAAATTTTAAAAAAGGAAAAAAAAAGGACACAGACATAAAATAGCATACAGATATTGTGAATATAAAATAATTATTAGAAACTAACAAAAAAAGAATGGAGGAAAATATTTACAAACGATATATATGATAAAGGGTTAATAACCAGAATCTAGAAAGAACTCAAGCAAATCAGCAAGAAAAAAAAACAAACAATCCCATTAAAAAATGGACAAAAGACATAAAGAGAAGCTTTCAAAAGAAGATAGACAAATGGCCAATAAACATATGAAAAAATGCTCAATATCACTAACCATGAGGGAAATGGAAATTGAAACCACAATGAGATATTGCTTTACCCTAGTTAGAATGTCTTTTATTAAAAAGCCCCAAAAAATAGATGCTGGCATGGATGCAGAGAGAAAGGAATGCTTATACACTGTTGGTGGGACTGCCAATTAGTACAACCTCTGTGGAAACCAGTCTGGAAAGTCCTCAAAGAATTAAAAGTAGACCTACCATTTGATGCAACAATCCCACTACTGGGTATTTACCCAAAGGAAAATAAGTTATTTTATCAAAAAGATACCCATGCTAGAATGTTTATTTCAGTACAATTCACAATTGTAAAGGTGTGGAATCAAAATGCCCATCAATTCGTCAGTAAATTAATAAAATGTGGTATATGTATACCATGGAATACCATTCAGCCATGAGGAAGGATGATTTAATGCCTTTTGCAACAATCTGGATGGAACTGTAGATCATTATCCTAAGTGAAATATCTAAAAAATGGAAAAACAAACACCACATGTACTGACCATTAAATTGGAACTAACCAATGAGTACATACGTGCATAGAGGGAAGTATAACTCAGTGGGAGGAGGGGAGAGTAGGGAATGGACAAAACCCTACCTAATGGGTACAGTGAACACTATCTGAGTGATGGACACTCTTATATCCCTGACTCAAGCATCATTTGTAGCTCCATGATACTTTAAAATTAAAAAAAAAAGGTGGGGGTGATGGAGCAAGCCATTAAACTATCTGGGAGAAAAGTATTTCAGGCAGAGGAAACAGCTGCTCCTGGCAAGGCTCAGAGGGAACAGCGTGCCTGGAATGTTCTAGGAGCAGCAAGGAGGCCACTATGTCCAGAATGAATATGAGAAGAGTGGTAGGAAATCTGCTCAGAGAAGTTAATGGAGGACCTTGTAGGTTATAGGAAGAGTTTTGGCTTTTACCCTGACTGGTATGGAAGCCACCAGGGGTTTTGAATAGAGAAAGTAAAGGTTCTGACTTGGTCATGCTCTGGGCAGCCACTCACCTCTCCATGAAACTGTCCATGATTGTATTAACTAGCATTTATTTGTCCCTTGTGGGTTCTTGCAGTATTTCTTTCTATTAGATTACCACCCTTCCCTTGTTTTTGATAACAATGGGTATAGTTTTCCTTCTTTTTTCCTTGGGTCACAAATATCTTGAAGGTGCCTCGTTTATATTTATATGTCCAGTGGCATCCAGTGTACTCTCTTCACATAGCAGGTGAAGGAGTTCAGGAAATTTTACCTCAAAATATGACTCCTTCATATAAAGAGTATTTTGAATTAAAGACCCTTAAAGATCAATAGGTGTTGGAAGGGGCTTTCCCTCCATCTTCAAAAAAGTTTCATTTTTATGAAGTTTCCCTTTACCCCCACATAGGCAATTACCAAATATTTGCTGTCTTTATGTAACTTTTCAACTTTGTTTACGGTGAATCCAATTATGAAATGTCACACAAGCACAGAACTAGTGATGATGACTATAATTTGTTGACATGACTGAATAACACTCGTGCATCATTTATTTTAAAAATTTTGCCTGTACTGTTTGTTTTTCTTAAGCAATAAATTAATATGTTATTCCACGGATAGCCATAAACACTCAATCAACTATCTCACAGTCAGGGTTTCATTTATAGGCATTTGAAACAACCTTGCTATTCCTCTGGAGTTCATTCTGTGAACTATAGCACAGAAATTAGTCCTGTGAGTGTGATTTGAAGGTATTGAAAGGCCTCACTTGCCCTAAAGTATTTCCACTATAAAGACTGCTCCCCCACCCCCACCCCACTCAGACCTTCAACATTCAGTTCCTGCCCCTGGTGCAATTCCTTTCTTTCTTAACAAAGGAAAGCATGCTGCTCTTAGAAAACCTCTACAGAATGCACAACTGGTCCTAAGCAATTGGAGTCACTTAGAGCACAGCCTAGTGAGGACTTCATTAAAAACTATACTTCACTTGCACCTCTCTTAACCAGCTGAAGACATGACTGGTATTTTATATATTATTTATTTATTTATGCAAGATCCTCTAACTCTGCAGACTGCTATTGACATAGTGAATGTCCCATTTCTGCATGAACATCTATTGGATAAAATGATTTAATCAGCTTTGATGATTTGGAATAACAGGACTTTACCAAGAGACTTGACTATTCTGATTTGAAAGTAAATGTCTTAACCTCCCTCGACATGACATTTATTTTCCATAAATGGTGCTGGCTTTGCCTTGGCATTCTTTTAGCAGCAGGAGACCATTATCATGTGAGAATGTTCTCTCCCCTTTCACATTGTCTCTTAATTATTGCCCTCTTTTCTATAGGCATTGCCCTTAGGAATTTTCATGTAATTTCCCCGCCTCCATTCCTCCTCTGACTTGTCCTGCCATGGGAGAGGATTTGGGTGTTAACCCCAGAAAGTCCAGAATAATGAATCTTGTAGACAGTTGGCTCAGTATCCAAGGAATCCTTTGAGAGGGGGCTGAGATACTGTGAGCAACGTGCAAGGCAAATGCTTGGGAACTAAAAAATTTGCATTGAAGCCTTCCAGGGAAAGGAGAGGATGACAATGGAAATCTCGAGGCTGGCAGGAGGAGGATGGAAGATTTAGTTTTTCCCACATGCTAGTCTCTCAAGACCATCCATTTTATTTATTTATTTTGAAGGAAAGGTTTCATCCTTCCCACTAACAAAAATAGCCCTCACTTTGTAAAACCCATCTCTGCCTTTTTGTTGAGTCTGTAGCCAGCCCGGTTAAAACAATGGCTGCAAAAAAAACTGAGAACTCCCTTGATGCATCTCAATGGCTGTTTGTTAACTTCAAAGCTGACCATTTAAATGCAAACCCTATTAAGTAAGTAATCTCAAACATAAGCACTCAGTTTGAGTCATATAGCGTTTAATTATCTAACATTGTTTGTTTTTAATTTACACTACAGTATATATATGTATACACATACACACTTTTAACATTCACTTTAGAATACAAGTTTACGTTCAGGCATAAATGCTTCTCTTGTATTATTTATGAATCTATGGGACCCTGGGTGAAGGTTACTATTTTCTACACAGGCAAATACAAAACCTATTAAGAAGAGGTTCCCCACCCCCAACCCCAGTGCATTTGGATGTTAGCTGAAAGGATCCTTGGAATTCTGTTAAGTTTGCCATCAATATTTATTGACTATAATTGTGATGTCATATAACAAGGCACATTAGCTCTGATTGCAGGCATTTCTGGCAACAAAAGAGTAGGGATTTAAGTCTTTTTCCCATTTCTTTGAAAATGCAGGAAAAAAAATTTCCTGGTGTTTTTTTCAACATAATATAAAGGTCACTGACAATAGCCCACCTATAGATGCTGCTGTGTGACATTTAAACTGAATACAAAGAAAGCATGATAAGCATTAAAAAGAACTAGTTGCTCTCAAGATAATGCTATTTACACAATCATTTCTCCTTGGGAAAAAAAGTAACATTCCAATTTATTTCTCAGATATCGCTTGAAAGATATACATATATAGCACCTTTGAGAATGTGAATAAAGAAAAAAGTGTCTATCACTGACATTTAATCTACCAATTCATAAATATTATTTAAAAAAATATGGCCTGGGCTGTGCAAACTAGAAACTGGGGAAATATTCTTTGGATTATATAGTCAGTTGTTACGTTTTAGTGAACAAAATTGAGGTGTTTATGTAACAGGAGCTGTGTGTACATGTTGCCAAAACTACCAGTTGAAAAGAACGAAGTCATTTAGAAAATTGTTCTATGTTTCCCATATATGTAGGACATTAATAACTGGCTAGACTGATTTGATTTCTGTGAAATAAAATTGTTTAACTATGTTTATAAAATTAGCCCTTGTTTTAGCATTATGTTGCCATAGTTGAATCTGAGTTTGGGTGAGTGGTTAATAGTGTATAAGTCTGTAAAAGAAAATAAAATTTTCTAACTCTCTAAACATATTATGCAAGGAATAAGACCTGGAGACCAAATCATGTAGCATATTTGCGACTTCTGCTTCTTAGATTATAGATTAACTCTCTTTTTCATGCTACCAAAAGTTTGGCACTTGTCCTGGAGCCTGCATCAGAAGAATTAGAGCAAGTAGTTTGAGAAGAAGGAAAGAGAAGTTGATTAATTTTGTTGGCAAAGGAGGAGGATGGAGACTACTGTCTGAAAAATATCATTGTCCTAATAATAAGCAGAAATACAGAGCTTTTAAAAGGTGGGTTCTCAGCTTCAGGCAATTGCTGTTGAACTATATTGGATGACCCTGATTGTCTCATCTTCATCCCATGTCCCATCTCTGTCCCATCTCACTGAAGACAAACCTGTGGCCTCCACCCAGCACATCTCTCTACCAGGTCTGGGCTGAGCCATCTCCTATAGCACAAAGAACAAAAGACATTACCTTGCCCCTCCCAACTATTGGCCTGAGGCAGAGAGGCAGATTTTAGTTCTCATAAAGGGGTGGAGGATATTTTAAAGAGAAAGAAAATATTTTTGCCATTTTTTGGGGCTATTCCCTCTGTTACATATTCCCTACTCTCAATATTTCCCTTCCATGTCTATGGGAGGAGGAGTGACTACTCTGTTACACTCACTGTTCTGACTGAGGAATGCTGTTACTGAAAATGTGGCACTTGTCCCCAAGGCCATATCAGAAGAACAAGGACAAGTGGTTTGAGGAGAAAGAGAGGGAGGTTTATCAATGTGCTGGCAAATGAGGAGAATGGCAGACTTGTGTCTTAAAGTAACATATTCTTATTGTTAAGCAGAAATACAGGGCTTGTAAAGGAAGGGTTTTCAGCTTCAGGCCATTGCTGTTTAATTAGAGTTGATAGTTCTGATCCATCCCATCTCCTGTGAAGACAATCTAGTGACTTCTGCCAGGACAATTCCATTGAGTCATCTCCCATGGTACAAAGAAAAAGGAAACTTTCCTGCCCCTCTGATTACTGCCCTCGGACAGGAATGCAGGTTTTAATTCTCAAGAAGAGTAGAGGAGGTCTTAAAGACACAACTTTTAAAACGTTTTCCCCTTTTTCATGCCATTTCCTCTGTGACAATGCAACCATATCTGGATGGACTTTTTCACAAGATAATATATGTCTCTTGGGCTCATTCAAATTCCACAGAGGATCATTTACAAGTTAATTTACCTCTCCAAAACAATACTTTTCTACCCTTCAAAAGAATAGTCTACATTCCCCATCTCCTCTTTCCCCTGTGAAGGGTATATAAGCAACTGTACCTCTCAGGGTTATTGGGCAGTCATTCTCCTGTGATTACTCTGTGCTTATGCACATTAATATGCCTTTTTTCTGTTAATCTGTTTACTGTTAATTCATATTAAAACACTTAGACTTGAACTTTCAGAGAAGTTTGAATTTCCTTACAAAAACACTAACATAAGAAGTGTAAGAAGAGTGAATTACCATGGGCAAGAAATTCTGGATTTGCATAGAGCATAGATTCAGACCAAATGGAATTAAAATCCTCATCATGATGTTGTATATTTTCTTTGAACTTTACATCATTTCGTTGCTAAACCTTCCTAATAGCATCTTGTCTGTATTATGTAGTTGTACAAAAATTTATGCTAATTTGAAAGGAAAACACAGTGAAATGTCACTCTGAGACCTAATGCTCAGAATGATTACAGAGGAAGGGCAGCTCACAACCTCTGCAACAAATAGGAGTCCCAAGTATAAACAAAATTCTATGCTGACAAAAGTTTAAATTTCTAAATCTAATGACATATGATGGGAATTTTAATATTTTATTGTATAATAAAATAAATATATTTATACTTCTCATTTCAAAGCCCTAATGCAACATCTTCTATGTGACCTAGGTCTGATTTGTGAGAAGTCTCCTTTCACATTGACACCACTGAAGTTGTTTAAGAGAAGGCTGGAGCAGCAGCAGATTGAATTTCTATTAGTGTAGTAGGGACACAGGATAATCTATTTTGAAACAATTGCTGTTATATTTTTCCTTTCCATTTTTTCCCCCATGCAACCCTTTAGCTTTAAGATTTGGTTATGGGATTGCAGGGTGCAGAGGGGGCTTGCCTGTGCCAGAAGCCCTCTGAAAGGCTCATGTCAGAATTGCTCCACTGAGAGGCAAGAAGGCTGCAGTATTTACCCATTGACTTGGGTCCCTTTTTGGCTGAGTTTTGCTCCAGTAACACAAACTGTGATTTATCCTGCTCACTCCTTGGCTTTAGGCTGGTGGAAGCCATCAGCCTATATGGGAGCTCTCTGGGGATGACCTTACTATTGACAAGATCATATGGGCAGGACACCAATTGTCAATCAGTAAAATTGATTATTTAGTTAAGAATACTGATTAGCAACTTTTGTGTGCATTTAGGCATTGTATTAGCATGCTAGGGTTGCCATAAGAAATACTATAGACTAGGTGGCTTAAACAACAGAAATATTTTCTCACAGCTCTGGAGGCTGTACATCTAATATCAAGGTGTCAGCTGGGTTGGTTTCTCTTGAGGACTCCCTTCTTGACTTATAGATGGCCATCTTCTCTCTGTGTCTTCACATGGTATTCCCTTTGTGTATGTCTGTGTCCTAAATCTCTTCTTATAAGGATACCAATCATATTAGGTTAGGGCCCAGCAAATGATCTCATTTAACTTAATTACCTCATTATTAACTAATAACCTCTTTAAAGGCCCTGCCTCCAAATACAGTCATGGACCACATAATGACCTTTTTGTCAATGAAGAAACACTTACATGATGGTGGTCCCATAAGACTATAATGTAGCTGAAAATTCTTATTGGCAGAATGTCTTAGTACATAGCACTACTCACATATTTGTGGTGATGCTGATATAAACAGACCTACTGCCCTGCCAGTCGTATAAAAATATAACACATACAATTATATACAGTACATAATACTTGATAATATTAATAAATGAGTATGTTTTTGGTTTATGTATTTTACACTATAATTTTAGTCATTATTTTAAAATATACTCCTTCTATCTATTGAAAAAACGTTAACTATAAAACAGCCTCAAGCAGGTCCTTCAGGAGGTATTCCAGAAGTCTGCATTGTTATCACAGGAGAGGACAGCTCTGTGTGTGCTATTGCCCCTGAAGATCTTCTAGTGGGACAAGATGTAGGGATGGAAGAGAGTGATGCTGATGATCCTGACTCTGTGTAGGCCTAGGCTGTTGTTTGTATTTATGTCTTAGTTTTTAACAAAAAAGTTTAAAAAGTAACAAAAAAAATAGATACAAAGAAAGAATATTTTTGCACAGTTATGTAATGCATTTCTGTTTAAAGCTAAGTGTTATTACAAAATGGTCAACAAGTTTAAAAAGTAAAGTTTATAAAGCAAAAACATTCTTAGGGTGGGGAACCTGTGGCCTTCTGATTTCAAGATTGTTCTTTTTTAAGTACCAAAGGAGACAAGAAAACCTTCATCTTTACTTCATGCTTTTTAATAAAAGGATTTGTTCTGTAAAATTTGGATTCAGTCAAAAAGCTGCACTTAAGGACCTAAAAGGTCACAGGTGGCTTTAAGGCTGCAGGTTCTTCACCCCAAAGTGACTGACTCACTCAGAGCAAGTTCTTATCCTGCAAGCTCCATTGTGGTAAGTGTCCTTTACAGAAGTAGCATTTTAAAAATCTTTTATACTGTATTTTTATTCTACCTTTTCTATGTTTAGATATGTTTGGATACACAAATACACTTGGTCTTCCATATCCGTGGGTTCTGTGTCTGTGGATTCAACCAACGAGGGATGGAAAGCTTTGAAAAAAATAAAATCGTGTTTGTACTGAATGCATACAGACATTTTTTGGTCATTATTTCCTAAACAATATAGTATAACAACTATTTACATAGCATTTAAATTGTATTAGGTATTATAAGTAATATAAAAATAATTTAGAGCACTGTATATGAGAAGATATGGACAGATTATATGCAGCTACTATGCCATTTTATATTAGGGACTTGAGCATTTGCAGATTTTGATATCCATAGGAGATCCTGGAACCAATCCCCCATGGATAACTGTACTTACCATTATGTTATATTTGCCTACAGTATTCGGTACAATAACATGCTGTACAGGTCTGTGTTTCATAGGTGAGACCATCTAGGTTTATGAAGGTACACTCTATGATGTTCACACAAGGAGGAAATTGCCTAATGAGGCATTTTCTCTTAACACATTCCCATCAATAAGCAAGGAATAACTGTACAGTCTCATTCTGAGAGATTGGGGGTTAGGACTTCAACATATGAAATTTAGGGAAAATACAATTCAGTTCATAGCAGGTATTATCAAATGCATAAAGAAAACAAAAGATTACCCAAATCTTAAAGTATTAATAACTTGAGTAATGTGGGTCACTACAGAGGGATATTGGTCACTTTTTGTGTAATGGGCTATTTTCTTGATGCTTCCTCTGTAGGAACAGTTAGAGATTAATTATAAATCTACATACTGAATGGCAGCTTCTCCCACTCCCTCCATCTACTTTTTCTGCTACTCATACCCCTGAGCAGAAATTTGGAAGATTTTTCTCATGAGAAACTAAACAGCTATAGGAAATAATAAATATTGAATGTTGGAGGTCTTCCAAAGAGGAATCCTGTCCACATCCTAATTTTCCTACAAATAAAATCCATAATCCAAAAAAATTGGTCAAAAAAACCTAGGACATCATATCAAATTTTTAATGCCTCATTCTAAAGTATATATGGATATAAAAGAACCACAAAATAATTAAAGAAATCCTCCAAAATGAAAACCAACCTAAAGAAACACAGGAGAAAGTTGCAGGTAACAGAGACAATGCAGAGAATATAATTTAAATAACTAAAAATTATAAAAATGCTATTATAGAAATTTTTCTCAATTATTCCCTCAAATAGGTTTTCTAACCCTAGTGTATTTTGTTCTTCACTCTCAGAGATGCCTATGATTGTTATGTTAGGCTTCTTTACATAATCCTGTATTTCTTGTAGGCTTTGTTCTTTCTTCATATTTCTCTGCTGTATCTCTTTGACTGATTTGCTTAATGTAAACGTGTTGTATTCAAGTTCTGAGATTTTCTTCTGTCTGATCTCACCTATTCTTAAAGCTTTCCCCTGTGTCTTCTATTTCCTTGAATGAAGTTTTCATTTCCAGAAGATTTGTTTGATTTTTCTTTAATAATTCACTTTCTTTAGTGAATTTTTGATCCATTTCCTGCATTGTTTTTGTGGTTTCTTTGTGTTGGGCACACTTAAAACTTTCACTCAAATGATACAAAAGCAATTTATGTAACCAATATGTTTGTAATCCCATGATATTCTGAAATAAATAAAAAATAAAATACAATGTCAATATTACAATATGTCAAAAATACTATCAGAAAGACTAGAGACTTGTGAAGAAACCAATGATAAAAAAAGAAAAAAAAACCGGTGAAATAGAAAAAAAAGGAAAAAAACTGAAATAGAAAAAATCTGAAAAAGGAAATGAATAATAGAATAGAAATAATCAAGCATTTATGGTATTAATTAGGAGGGAGAAAACAAAAATAATAAAGAAAAAATTATCATAAAAATAATATTAATAGGAGGCTGTGTGCATTGGTTCATGCCTATAGTCCCAGCCATTGGGGAGGATAAGGTGGAGGATTGCTTGAACTCAGGAGTTTGAGATTTGCTGTGAGTAAGCCATGATAATACCATTGTACTTTAGCCAAGGTGACAGAGCAAGACCCTGTTAAAAATAAATAAATAAAATAATAATAGGAAAAAATTCACAATGGGGAAGGACCCAGAGAGGGCTTCCTATAATGAATAAAAATAAACTTTGCTGGGGAAATTACTCAAGCCTGTAATCCCAGCACTTTGGGAGGCTGGAGTGGAAGGATTGCTTGAGGGCAGGTGTTTGAGACCAGCCTGGCCAACATAAAAATAAAATAAACAAATAAACAAAAAGTCTACCAAAAATATTTTAAAAATTAGCCAGTCGTGGTAGTGTGTACCTGTAGTCCCAACTACTAAGGAGGCTAGAGCTAGAGGATCACTTGAGTCTAGGAGTTTGAAGTTGTAGTAAGCTATGATCATGCCACTGCACTCCAGCCTGGGCAACAGGCTTGTCTCTAAAACAAAGAGGGGGGGGCGAGATATTTGTATTAAGGCACTTTATTATATGATGATATATATATATATCATTGGAGATAAAAACTTACAGAGAAAAAAACTCAAAGGGGCAAAAACAATAAACTGGGAGAAAATATGGCAATATGGAATTGACCCAGGAGGGTAGGAAATATTAGAATGATATCTTCAAATTCTGGTGAAAAATTATTTTTAACTTGGGATTCTATTCTATGTCAACCAAACTGACATCAGATGTGAAAGGGAAGACATTTTCAAACATGCAAGAACTCAAAACATGTACCTCTTATTTTTGGACTGTGGTTCACTATGGGTAACTGAAACCACAGAAAGTAAAACTTCAGATCAGAGGTGACTACTGTATGTACACAGTTTTAAAAGAAATTAAATGAACAATCATATAAAAAGTAGCAGCTTCCTGGGTACATTACTGCTACTTATCTATATTTTAGCAAACTGTTATGTTATTTATCTTCATCACTAAAAAATTCATATATTTCTATTTCTTAATTTATCAATTTTAGACATTTTTCTACTGAATTTTTGTCTGTACCCTTTCTCAGGTAACTGCTGAAAGAAGTCTATCACCAAAATGAGTCACTGAGCCAAGAAGGAAGACAACTTCAGGGCCAGCAAGGAGTCTAGATCAGCTGTGCAGGTTCTCTAAGGGAACTGATAGTCGAAACTCTAGGAGGAAGTTCTCTAGGAAAAAAAGTGAAACTGATATGTATGCCATAAAACTGATATGAATGCCATAAAAATGATTTGAGCCAATCATTATTATACCTTTCCTGTTGCCAATGATTGGTTTATAAATGGGCATGTGACAAAATTCTAGCCAACAATGTGTAAGAGGAGTTTACATTTCGGGGAAAGGTTTTCAGGATCTTAAAAACATATTTAGGAAGAGATGTTATATCACATCTAGATTTGATGTCTATATAATTGTGGCATCAGTTTTGTGCCCAGGAGAGAACAATTCTAAGAGCAAAGCTGCTGAATTAAAAACAGTTCAGCAGAAGGATACATTTTTGGTGATGTCATGGAGCCAATGAATTAAGCAACCCTGGAACTGTTTACATCTGTATTTCTTGGTCTATGAGAAAATAAGTTTTCTCACTGTTTAAAGTAGCCAATTTAGGTGCTTGCATTAGAGAGCATCCTCAATGAGAGAAGTGCATACAGGTGTATCTGAAAGGCCTGGAGCCTTGATGGAAGCCAGACTGAGATCTCTTTGGTGAAAATCATGAGGGAGGCTGGCAGATCAGGCTGCAGGAAGGAACAGTGTTTTCTAGTAGAATATGAGTCTAGGTTTGATGCACCCTTACCTGTTCCTTTCACCACTGACATAGCTTCCCCTGGAATACCTCTGTACTCTGTAAAGGAGGGATATATAATGATGTAATGCAATGAAGTATAATTCAATATAATAGAATAAAATAGCATAATAATATAATGTAATATAATGCAATACAGTATGATACTATTACAATATAATATTTTTTAATATGCTAATATATGATACATCATAGGAGGGACAAATAATTCTACTATGTAAACAATTAATAGATCAAAGAGTTACTGCCATGTGGATAATTTGTCATGGATAGCATATTGTATTATTTTTTTACTACTATATAACAAATCACCACCAAATATAATGACCTCAAATAACAGCTATTTATTTGGACTACGTGGGACGGCAGAGTGCTTCTGATACTGTCTGTGGGGAGCTATAGGCCAGCTAGGCAGCCCTGCTTCTGGGACCTGGCTGGCTGTCACCTGTGCTGAAGGAGGTGACTGGTCCATGTGGTCTCTTACCCTTCACCAGGCTAGCTGGGCTTTTTCTCTTGGTGGTTGTAGGTAGGCTATGTGTCACATCTGCTACGTTCTGTTTGGTAAAATAAATTGCAAGGCCATTCCAGACTCATGGGGCAAAGAAATTGACTCTACCTCTTGATAAAAATGTCATGGGTATAGGAAAGGAAGATTAGAACCATTTTTGCAAGCAATTTACCACACACATCCCAGTGGAAACCTGAGCAGAGAGCCACCTACATACCAGGCAATGAGCAAAAGGGCCTCAGAGGTATGGGCAACAGCTTGGATTGTATGAGAGGCAAACCAACCACTGGGCCATGGACCACTTTTGAAGGGTAAGAACAACAGTTTGGCAAGGATAGCTGTCCCTAGTGGTCCACCATTCTTGTGGGGAGGCCAGGCAACCTGGGCTGCAGTAAGTCACCTAATCAGTACAAAAGAGAATATGAGTTAACTCCTTTTTCATATAGGTGTGCCACCCTCTTGGTGATTTTCCAAAGTAACAGGAGGAGACTGTGCCAAGGCTGGTGTGGTGGTGTTGGGCTGGCCTGGGGTGGCTGGGAGCCAGGGTGTCTCAGTATTGAAGTGTCACCTTTGCACGTGTCACTAGTCTTGTACAGACATAATAAGTACTCATGGAATTCATGCAATGTGATTCTAATGACTTCTATCTAGTCCTTTTTCAAATGAATTAATCAGCCACAAACAATCTTTCTCTGCTCAGGACCTGCCTGGACTCTCTCTCTTCACCATCCTTGATCCTGGTTGGTCAGGATCTCTGCTCTTCTACATCCACAACATTTATATTGAAACTTCAGTTTCCTGGCATCAGACTCTTTGTATTGACTATATAGATTTCTACTCAGCCGAAAGAGTCTGTAATTCAACTACCAAGTTGACATTTGATCATTTCAGTGATTCCAATTCTTATCAGGTGATGCATAGATTTGTGGAACTCTGGACCTGAAAGAATTAGCTCTTCTATAATGCATAGGATTGTACTTATGCATGAGAATTATGTCACTGTGCTCTGATCTCTCCCTTGATTCTCCAGTATGTGTGGCAGTTTGAGGAATGGTTGTGAGGTTCATCTTATTCTTTGACATCTGGAGAGCAACTTCCAAGTTCATGGGACGTGAATATCTCCTTCACTATGGAAAAATCACTGATTTTTCATTTTATGTTATCAAACATTTGTTCCATTCCTTCTTTCCTCCTCTACTGCATTTCCCAAATCTATTTAACTATCTATTGTCCAGTGGGGGTTACACTTACAATTTATCAAGGATAATTAACATACATGAACTGATAAAATAATTAAATGCCAAGTCTTGTCTTACTGATGGAAAACAGACAGGAAAGGGGTCTCTCAAGAGGTGTTGTCCTAGTTGTAGAAGACGAAGGCATGAGCTATGTTGGGACAAATGGAGGATGGGGAGGTGGCCAGGGAGAACATCAAACACAAATCCTACATTTATGGAGCTGATGAGAATAATGTCTTTTGCATATATTCATAAAATGTATTAAATGTGCATATGTATTAAATGTAAAATGTATTTTAAAATCATAGATTTCTTATTCTACTTTTAGAGGAAAGGTAAATTGTAACACATGCAAAAGTGCTAACTTCTAAATTAATACATATGAGAGATTATTAATGCTTATTTGTAAAATTTTTCCCATTGTGTTAAAAAGTTCTGTGCATAACAGTTTTTCAAATAATAAATAATTTATTAAGTTTTCTATAAATATTCATCAATGTTAAAACTGATATATTCTGTTATATTTAATAATGAGATAAGTTTTGGGAGAGATGGCTTTTAGGGACAAACTTCAATCAGGAAAGGCCCCTTTTCCCTAGATTTGGTATTGAGTCAAATGTTTTTTTCAAGAGTACTATAAATATATTATTTATGAGTATGGATTGTTATGTGAAAATCATACAGTGGAAACATATTTGTATTCATTGGAATATATATTTAGATAGATGGATGGATAGATATATGCTATATAAATAGATATATGTTCATCCTTGTAAACTTCTAAGCTGATAATAGAAGAAGGTCTACTAAGAATGTTCAACTTCCCTTAAGGGCTGAAATAGTGTCTGTGTTACTAAGTGCTGTCCCTATATATCAAAGTGGGTTGGCCAGAGCACGGCGAATATGAGTGGAGTGGCCCCGCAGAGACATGAAAAAGATAGAGCGCCACTCTAGGCAGAAGTTTTAACAGCTGAGACCAAGATACCAGACTTCTGGTCTCCTTTCATACAGTACCAGGAGATTCAACTGTTGGGTGAAGTTTGCAGGCAACCAAAGGAGAACCATGTCTCCCATGAGGTGCATTCATGCAATCCCTTTGTCCACCTGTGTTCCTAGCTTTCCTGCTGTCCAGAGATCCCTTCTTACTATCTTTCCTCTTTTTCCTACATCATTTTGTCCTCTGGTAAATTAGAGGTGGGGAGAAGGAGGACATAACCATAAATACCCTTTCAAAAAGCCTGAAATCTCTGTCTTTCTCTGCGTCCTTTCCTGAAAACAAACAAAGAGATAAAAAACTTGAGAATTGTTTGGTTAGGAGAAAGTTAAGGACTTTTAATTGATGTTTCAAAAGTCAAACCAAAGTCATCAATATTCAAAATATTATATAAAAGTTATGAGATACTATAAGGTATGATGTACAATAGAATTTTCTTTGTAGTAATACTTCCACTTGTCTTTATCTGCTCCTGTATATTTATCCATATTTTAACAAGTTGATCTCTAATTATTATCCATAATATTGAGATCATTCTTGTTCTTGGAAAGGTACATTTCTCATGCCTTTATGTAGCCCTTTTCAATCTTGCTGTTAATAAATTGGTGTTTATTTTCTTTCAGTGTGCTGCTTTTAAGTGTTTTATTTATTTAAAGATTCCAAAAGATTGTTTAATGTTTTACAGAGGCTTATATTTTCCATGAAGTATTACTACAGGAAAAGTTACCTATTTTAAATTTCAGAAAGTTTGGTTCATGCCTTTCATGTTTTATTCAGTTTTGTTTGCTGTTTTTTATTTGATTGTTAGGTCTCTTAAGTATGAAGTCTTTCTAAACATGGATCACAGAGTGTTAGCCATTATTTTGAGAATGTTACATTTTGCAACACTATTACTCTCCTCAAAGAAATAACTCACATGAGATTGCATTCTAAGATGTTAAATTATGAATAGTTTCTGAGGGTTCACACTTCCTCTTTTTCTCATTATCTTTGACATGAATCCCCTATAACTGAATAAATGTAGTTTGAGATGGTAATAGAAATTGTAGGTTCTACAATCCCCTAATTGCCTACAAAAATCCAACAAGTGCTGAAAACTGATGAATTTTTCATAACTAATTTGGTAGTATCCTGGCCAATTCTGAACATGTTCAGAATAATGTGGCAAAACCAAACCCGAAATGACATGCGGCTGTTTATAATCTTCTTTTTTATCCTGTTGGGTGTAAATATTTATATGATTCACTGAAAAAATATTAAGATGTTTGCATATGGGGTGCTGTCCCAGATGCTGCTGAGAGTTATCTACATATATAATACAAAAATATATATTTTATATAATATACATCCCTACACTTTCTAAAATCTGATGAATTCAAAATTCCAAAACACATCTGGTTCCAAGTATCAGACCAGAATCAACTCAAAAAAGTAAAAAATGTGACTCTCATACAAATGTAAATTGAACATATGCCAAAGATTTTATTTAACTCATTAATTGATGAGGAAACCAGTAAGATGGCAAGGCTAGTTCAAAGGAGAAGTTAGGAAATTAAAATTTATTTAGCCAGGCAGTCAAAG